AGGTCGGGCGGGGGTGATTGGTCATTCCTAAGCGGGTTACACATTCAAATTGATTGGTTCCGGCCCTGAGACAAACTGCACAGGGCCCTAGGCTAAATGGCCAGTAGGGCGTTGTTTTAACTCTCAGGAATTTCAGGTTCTGGGTGTAACAGAGGAACTTAATAATACCTAATCTTTTACATTCAAGCTTTCCAGCTTAGAAACTTTACCCTTTCATTAATAGTAATCTAAAAATTAAGGTGCCAACTACTAGTTATTTGTTGACAGTTTTTAGTCCCTTTAAGATAAGGAGAAATGAAAGTGGGGGGCAATCCCACTGGACAAAAAGATCATAAATTAGTAAAGAGTCATTGGGCACTATTCTGACTCACAGCTGGCTTGAATTTGAAGGAAAATTGCAGTTTTCAATGCTAATTGTTGGCTTAAGGTCTTTCATTCATACTTTAATGAGAAAACTTTGGTGTGAGTTTACTTCTGAGACCCATTCACTCCTTGTCCTACCTATTCTTTGTTATTCTAAAAAATGGGAAAATGGGTTGATTGAATATATACAGTTTAAGTTCTTTGGGGGCAGGGAGTATGTCTTCCTCATACCTGTGTTTCTGAGGCTTAACACAATGTCTGACACAGAGTTGGTTCTCAAATATCATTTGAGAAAAAAAAAAATGCCACCTTCCATAATGCCTTGTTTTTAAAAAGTCTAAAAAGTTAATACTAATAGTTTTGTAAAGGTCTGGCGAACCGTCAGAGGGAGAGACCACACAAGAGACTTACTCCATGCAATTGGCAAAAGGGGATTTATTGGGGATCCATTCCAGCGCGCTGGGGCTCCGTGCTCACTCAAGAAGGGAGAGCAGCCCAGAGCCCAGAGCAGAGGTCAAGCAGAGCTTAAGTACACTTTCTGGAGAGGGCGGTGGGCTTTGCATACATCAGAACAAATCATCATGAGGCGCGGGGAAATTGAACAACAACTTTGAGACGTGATTGGCAAATTCATTGGCGGGAACATGTCGGGCGGGGGTGATTGGTCATTCCTAAGGGGGGGGGTACACATTCAAACTGATTGGTTCGGGCCCTGTGACAAACTGCACAGGGCCCTAGGCTAAATGGCTAGTAGGGTGTTGTCTTAACTATCTCAGGAATCTGGGTGTAACAGAGGAACTCAATAATACCTAATCTTTTACATTTTAATTCAAGCCTTCCAGCTTAGAAACTTTACCCTTTCAGTTTCTAACAGTAACTTCTGGAAAACTTGATGTCAATTTCCTTTGTAATGTTATCCATTTATTTGTTAAATGACCACTTTATTTATTAATTTATCATTAACTTATTTAGGTTAAGAAAAACAAATGGAAGTAAACACCACATTAATGGCCCACTTGTTCAGTGATATCACTGAGCACACTTAAATTTTTCATCATAAATAATTCTAATAAAAGTCAGAATGGCGATGTTTTTAACAATATAAACACTATCCCTCTATTAATCCAGGCTTTGTGGGCTTAGCCCAAGTATTTGGAGCAGGTCAGAAGAAACAAGTCAATAAGACAGATCTTCTAGATGCTGGGGATTCAGAGAACTCTCCCTTAGGAAATATCTCCCTGACTTTGCAGGCATCAATTACTGCCTCAGCAGAGTTCCCAGTGGTGTGTCTTGAATGCATTCCACACCCATGGACTCTTCCAGAAAGAGGACTTAGTCAGCATCCTGGACCAAAGAGGAGAAGCAGGCCCCAAGGGAGTTAACTTATAGGGTCACCACTGAAAGGGTAAAGTTTCTAAGCTGGAAAGCTTGAATGTAAAAGATTAGGTATTAAGTTCCTCTGTTACACCCAGAACCTGGAATTCCTGAGAGAGTTAAAACAACGCCCTACTGGCCATTTAGCCTAGGGCCCTGTGCAGTTTGTCACAGGGCCCGAACTAATCAGTTTGAATGTGTAACCCGCTTACGAATGACCAATCACCCCTGCCCGAGCTGTTCCCGACAATGAATTTGCCAATCACATCTCAGAGTTGTTGTTCAATTTCCCCGCGCCTCATGATGATTTGTTCTGATGTATGCAAAGCCCACCGCCCTCTCCAAAAAGTGCACTTAAGCTCTGCTTGACCTCTGCTCTGGGCTCTGGGCTGCTCTCCCTCCTTGAGTGAGCACAGAGTTCCAGCGCGCTGGAATGGATCCCCAATATATCCCCTTTTGCCAATTGCATGGAGTAAGTCTCTTGTGTGGTCTCTCCGTCCAATGATCCGCCGGACTCCCCTTACAACCACCACCTTCCTAAGGGGACTGATGTAATATCTCTGCCCAGCAAGAAGGAGAATAACTTTTCAAAGCAATAGAATCCTTTCTTTGTGGGAATTTGAATTTGAGACTATTATAGTTTAGATGTGGTATCCCCCAAAAGCCTACGTGTGAGACAATGCAAAAAGGTCTGGAGGAGAAAGGATTGGGTCATATCCTGAACGCAATCAGTGACTTAGTCCCTGATGGGATTAACTGAGTGGTAGCTGGAGGTGGATGGGGAGTGGCTGTGGGGGAAGTGGTTCCTTGGGGGCATGGCTATAAGGTACATATTTGTATCTGGTGAGCCCAGAGTTTCTCTGTTATGCTTGAATTCGGGACCCCCAAAAGACCACCAGAGACCAAGATCGATGTAAGCAGCAAAGAGGTGTTTATTTTGAGCTAGCTCGGTCCTCCGCACGAACACACAGCAATTGGTGACGCTGAGAGGCCCCGAGCCCAGGGTTTGCAGCAATTTTATACCTTCTTTGGAGAAGGCAGGGACCCCCACATAGCATCTCTTAGCAAATCATATCACACCTTGGGAAAATCAAATAACAACTCTAAAACATGATTAGCACATTCACTGGCGGGAACAAGTTGGGTAGGGGTGATTGGTTAGTACAAGAGGGGGATTCATTTGAACTGATTGGGTTAGGCCATGAGGGGGGAACATGCTGAACTACATGGTTTCCCAACATGTTATCAACCACCATAAACTACTGGGGGGGTCATCTGGCATCCCAGGTATTTCCCTGTCTCATGCTGATTGGTGGTTGCTAGGGGGTTGCTATGGGTCCCCACCTAGCCTGATTGAGTCAGGGACACCTGGCTCTGCAGATCTCTCCTGTTATTTGTAGATAAACCACTCAGCAGGGTGGGCATGTGCCTAGGAGTACTCTGTGGGTCTTTCCAAGGACAAGGGCCATGCCCCCTTCCTTGGACAGGCTTTGCTCTGAGGTAGAGGCTGGTTTTTCATCTCTTGGCTTCCTGATCACCATGTTGATACTGCCAGTTATCAGTGCCGAGTTCTGCTCCTTCACTTGTTGAAGTCGGACATTGGGGAGGCACGCCATGGCAAGCATATAAAGCAGGGTTTATTGAAAAGGGGGTGACATAGACTTCTCCCTGGAGGGAGGAGGGGGCCATTGCTGGTATCCTGGTATCCCTAGAAGCCTAGGCTTCCTTTGTTCTGCTGTCTTCCCCTTATTTTTCTCCTTCCTGTGTATGTGACTAGGCCCAGGAGTGCTGGGTGGGACGGCCCAAAGGTGGGAAACAGGTGGGCTGAAGAGGGAAGGGCAGGATGGTGTAGCCCTGGACACATTAATTAACAACTTTTTAGCTCCCTGTGGGGAGGGGCAATTCCTGGGACAGGTGACCTTAGCAACAGGTTGGAGCAGGGGCAGGTTCTTAATAAGGGTGGAGAAAGGGCTCTGAAGGAACGAACATTTCAATCCCTCAGGGGACAGTCTCCAACTTGTGACTCACTCAAAGTTGGCCTCCTTGATCCATCCTGACTTGATTTACCTACACTGACTGCCTGTCTCATTCTGGCTTCAATGTGAGCAGCTTCCCTCCAGCACACTCTTTGACCTTACTGTTCAGCTTCACCTCAAGCCCCAAGGAATGGAGCCCGCCTTTTATGGATTGAGACCTCTGAAACCATGAGCACTCAAATAAACTTTTCTTCCCTAAAATTGTTCTGGTCATATCTTTTAGTCACAGCAGAGAGAAAGCTGACTAAAACAGAAATCAGGGGAATCAGTATCACACCCTAAATATGCCACTTTGGCACAAGGATAGTTTTGCAGATGGCAAATGAGAAACAGCAGACACAGGAAAACTCTACCCTCCCACTTTCTGCCTAAAGGCAGAACATATATTTTCTTTTGTGAAAATGTCCTGATCCCCTCACCCATATCCCAAAGAGGAGATGGCTCTTATCAATGGAACAATACCAAGCTGAATTTGCTTAAATGTACTTTATTGAAATAACATTTATATTTCCTTAGTATCCCCCATACATTCCCCTTCCTACAATTCACCACCCCTTGAAATCCAAACACCTCTGTTTTTGTCACTTCTCCACAAATTTATCGTACTTTGTTAAGATGGTATATAGACTCTGAAGCCTAACCACTTTTGTTTTGTTTTGTTTTGTTTTTCACTTCCTTTTCTGTGAGACCCCTGTGAACATATAAAATTTAAAATATTAATAGCATATAAGATTTGTTTGCCTTTTTTTGTTGTTGTTGTTAGTCTGGGTTTTATCGGTCTAATTTGCAGGGTTCTGTTACCACTCTTGACCGGTGAAGAGTCCTTGCTTCCCCAATGTTGAAGAATAACACCAGAGAAGCATACAGGGGCAAGGTCAGAGTGGGAAATTAGAAGTTTATTAAAGGACAGCAGAAAGGACTTGTCCTGGAGGAAGAAGGGGACCCAAGAGGTGGAATCCCTTGAAGGCTGAATGTGTTCCCCTTTTTATAGTTTTTGGTGAAGGAATGTAGGTGGGAAGGGTTGGGACACAGGAGGGCCAAAGAAGTAATCTGGGCATTTCAGAGTCAAGTTTGCTGTTCATTAACATTTCTTTGGGATGGACTATCTCCAAATCTGTTGGGGGCTGTTTCCTGGGCTTCATTAACATTTCTTTGGGATGGGCTGTCTTCAAATCTGTTGGGGGCTGTTTCCTGGGCTTCATTAACATTTCTTTGGGATGGGCTGTCTTTAAATCTGTTGGGGACTGTTTCCTGGGCTTCATTAACATTCTGAGAGTTGCTCAGCTTTTCTGGAAATTCATTCTCAACATGGCCTCATTTTAGATTTCACTCGATATTAGACCCGATTTACCTACTACACTGACTACCTAATTTTAAATCTGGCTTCAGTTCCAGGCACTGGAACTAAGTGGAGAGTTTTTCTTCTCCAACAGTCTCATATAGTAGTCTCAAAGTAGTACTTGCTAGTCTGGGAAGAAGCCTAAGACAGGACGAGAATAGAGCTGTGCAAGTAAATGAGCCAGGACAAGTCATCTCCAAGCAGGGGCAAGAGTTGCTGAGTCTCCACAACATCAGTCCTGGCTCCAAGAGTAGCCATCACCTGCTCAGAAGAGGCTGTTGAAGGATGGAGCTCCTGTAGAGAGCTGGACCCAGCACTGTCTGTGCATGGCCCTCCTTTCCCGCTCCATGAAGCCTGGTAAGATTCTTTCTGTTCTTTCCCTTCTATCTTCCTAGCTGACCTGAAGCCCTTGATTACCATGAATGTAAGTTAAATTTTCTCTAACTCTAATATGCTAGAATAAGATTGAGCATAGTAACAACTCAATTAGCTGAGGCTACATGTTCCAAATTTCTAATTATTTCATTTGGACTAAGCTGAAGTTTATTTTGCTAGCAAAGTTTGATTATAGATAGCTCAAGTTTTAATAAAAAGGGGCAGGGGAATTGTTTAGTAGTTTTAATTTTGCATGTTAATTTCAAACTCTCTTATTTATTAAAACTTTAAGACTCAAAAAACTTTGATTAGGTAGAATAAATAAATATTGTTAACTTTCATGTTTTTTTTTAACCCACAAATATTTATTGATCCTTTCTATGGGCCAGGCTCAGTGCTAATGTATCAGAACATAGAAACATAGAATCAATTGAATAGGAATGATACTATATCTTAAAAAATAAAAGCGCAGTATAAGAAATATCTTGGCATGATGGTTTTCTGCTACCCCCCCCCACAAATGTATGTGTGTATATATATTCACATATACAAATATACATACAGATGGCAACCAATTTACATTGATCTAATTTAGAGTTTTTCAATTTTCTGTTGGTGTGAAAGTGATACACTGCAGTCAATTGAAACTGTACCCCGAATTTTGAATTTGATATTTTCCCAGACTAATGATTTGAAGTCTGATCCTCTCTGGGGATGCTGGGCCCTGGCAGTGAGCTGTAACTCCTGCTCAGACACAGATCACAAAGGGGAGTTTTATAGTGAGCTGTGTTGCTAAGTTAGGGTGCCCCATAGGTTAGATGTATAAATGCATTTTTTACTAATCTTTTTTCAAGTTAATGATGGGTTCATCAGGATGTAACCCCATCATAAGTCGAGGTGCATCTGTGTGTGAAGAAAGAAAGGAAAAGGAAGGAGGAAGGGAGGGAAGGAGAAAGAGAGAAAAAAGGGAAGGAAAAGCCCTACTCTCAGGCACCTCAGAGACTGATGACGGAGGCAGAAAAAGGTATGAACAACATCTTTGCTGTGATAGACGCTGAGCTAGAGGTGTGTGCACTGCATATTAACTAGCAGAGAAGAGGAGAATCTCCCTTGACCTGGGAATGGAGTCCAGAGAATCTTCCTGAGCATGACTGGGGCTGAAGGTTAAAGGATGAATCTAGGTGACCAGAAGGAGAAGAGAGGACAGCCCAGGAAAAGTCTCTTCAGGCCACTACAGGAGGAGTGGGGAGTACAGTGGTTTCTTGCTCTTTGTGGTAGTTAGGATCTATGAACTTCTTACAAACACACAAGTATTTTTCCTGGGGAAAACCCCAAAGTTAGGTTCCTGTAAGGGTCTGGTTATGTTTTCATCAACTGAAACACCATTTGTGTTATCTAGGTTGGTTTGGTGACATCCTAGTACAATTCGGTCTCATCAGTATTCAAAATCTGTTCTCCACCTTTTCTCCTGCATAACATTTAGCAGGTGTTTTTCAAATTCTTCTGCCACCTCCTGATCTGAGAACATGCTTTGTCTTTAGGTATAATATTTTTCAGAGCTTATCACCTTTTGAAATTTGCAGGACAGGCATGACAAGAAGGCCTTAACATTTTTTTTTAACTATAAGTTTTTAATGTAAGTTTTCTTTGGCTTTCTGCCTCACAACAAAGCTACACTTTTTTTTTTCTTTTTCTTTTTCTTAGCATAAGACATTATCTCACAAATCCACAAATTTAGCTTCTTTTCCATGGTTTTATCACACATTATAGATGCTACTTCAGTTCTTTCTGGAGGGAACTCAGATATGGAAGCAAACTTTCTCTTCCTTTTCCTCCATGTACCTTATGTGGATTTGTTAACTTTGAACTTAGGACCTGCAGCACTAAAACTTGTGCCCAGAGGCGCTTGTCTAGCACAGGTATTTTTCTCCATAAGGCAGAGCAAACTTGGGAATTTACTCTTAGTAACACTTGTCAACACTTTCAACTGTGAAACAGGAATGAAAAACGTGGTAGGACAGCTGGAACAAGACGGCACAGCATTGCCTATTCAGCCTCAGATGGGAATTTGCATTGAGCAACTCAAAGTTTTTGCCACTCTGTATGTGTCTGCAAATGACCGTGAAAGCTCTGTGAGCATTGATTTCAGGGTGTTGTGTTCGGGGTTCATAGATGGTCTTAATTAACCAGATTTCCCAGGGGCCATTTTTTCCCTTTGATCCAGTTTGAATCTAAGATGAGTCTTCAACATTGTCTGACACTCAAACAGTGATGTTACAAGACAGATAGCAGTAGCAGGTTGGGGGCATGAGCCAGATGGAGTCGGGGGTCAGATGCATGCCTAAGAAGGCCTCCTCTGGAGGTCATTCACAGAGTGAGAAGGACCCTTTTCCCTTTCTCATATCTGTATTCGGTCTAGGTTGGTCACCAGCTGTGTCTTTCAAGAAGGAATTAAGGATGAGCTTTGTTTAAAGGTTTATGAGAACTGCATTAGTGTAGAAGTGACTTTGTTTCCAGAAACCTCTAGACCAGAATTGCCAGTCCTTGAGCCAGGATTCATCCTTCTAGACACCCAGTGTTTACTTTACAAGATGTTCGAATGACCTTACAGTTATTACTAGTCTTATAATCACCTTACTTCTCTTATAGTCTACAACACGGGGTTAAAAACACATTTTAGTAAGTAGCAATGCCGAGTTGGGCTGGGGATGTGGCTCAAGTGGTAATGCGCTCACCTGGCATGCGTGCGGCCCGGGTTCGATCCTCAGCACCACATACAAACAAAGATGTTGTGCCTGCCGAAAACTAAAAAATAAATATTAAAAAAATACTCTCTCTCTCTCTCTCTCTCTCTCTCTGTCTCTCACTTTAAAAAAAAAAAAAAAGTAGCAATGCCGCAGTCTGGCTGGGCACAAATAACCGAGCCGCCACAAAGCACTTGTATGTTCAAACAGAAAACTTCATTGCCCCAACTCCACCAGCACTCCACGCACACTCCCTGGAAACTCTCTCTCCTCCACTGGCTCTGCATGCGCACTCTCTCGGAACCCCGGGAGAACTCCACGGGGACTCCAAAGTAGTGGGCACTGAGGCAGCAAGAGCCAGTAAAGGTCTATATACAACTGAATACACAGCTTAACGTAACCATCATCATCTCAATGGCTCTCTGGCGTCACCTCTCAACCACTCCCTTCTGGCAAAATGCCATGTGTCATCCCTACTGGGCTGTGGCTCTCAACATAGCAATTTTACAAATACAGAAGCCCTGAAGGATAAGGATCAACTGTATTTACAAGTCATTTATATGAAAATGGATATATCCAGAACATACAGAGAATCTTACAAGTCCAATAAAAGCGCAAATAACTTATAAAAATTATTAAAAAAAGATTTGAACACTTTACCAAAGATAACATATGAATGTGAAATAAATATTCAGAATCATCAGGGAAATGCAAATTAAAACCACAATAAGATAGCACTACATACTCAGTAAGATTGTAAGGGTCCGGCAGAGCGCTGGAGAAAGAGACTACACAAGAGACTTGACTTCATGGAATTGGCAGGAGGGAGATTATTGAACCAGCACGCTGGGGCTCAAGGCTCACTCAGGAAGGGAGAGCAGCCCAGAGCCCCAAGCAGAGGTCAAGCAGAGCTTAAGTACACTTTCTGGAGAGGGCAGTGGGCTTTGCATACATCAGAACAAATCATCATGAGGCGCGGGAAAATTGAACAACTCTGAGACATGATTAGCACATTCATTGGCGGGAACAATCTGGGCAAGGGTGATTGGTCATTTCTAAGCGGGGTACACATTTAAACTGATTGGTTTTGGAGCCTAGATGCTTATGTGCCAAGCTACGTAGAGCCCTTAGCTATTAAACAACCAGGGAATCAATGGAGATATTTACTGGGCAGTTCCAGCATTGTCCTAACAGCTACAGAGATTACAGGTTCCGGGGGTAGCAGAAGAATTTTAACAATACCTAGTCTTTACTTTTTAGCCCAGGCTTTGCCATTTAGAAGCTTTACAGTGCCCAATCTTTTACACTTTAACTCAAGCTTTTGCAGCTTAGAATCAGCTTAGAAATTTTACCTTTACAAGATGACTAAAATTAATTAGACTGACAATACCAAGCATTGTCAAGGCATTGAGACCACTGGAACATGCACATAGAGCTTGTGGGAGTGTGAAATAGCATAGCTATTTGGAGAACAGTTTATCGATTCCTTGTAAAGTTGAAGGTGCACTTGTCATCTGACTCAGAAACAGCCCTCTGACTGAGAAACAGTCCTCCGTATTTACCCAAGACAAATGAACACATGTAACCACACAATGTCTTGCGCACAATGTAAATAGCAGCTTTATTCAAATAGGAAATAACACCAATGTTCTTTCATTATAAATGGATAAACAAATTGCATATATCCACACAATGAAATACTACTCAACCATAAAAAGGAGCAAATTATTTCTATGTGCAATTATGTATGATGCATGATGAATCTCAAAAGCATTCTGCTTTTTGACAGCAGCCAGTCACAAATGCCTAAATACCATCTGATCCTATTTCATGACATTTTATAAAAATCAAAGCTAAAATGACCAAAAAAAATGATCAGTTTTGCCTGAGGCCATGGATGTGAGGAGAGAAACAAGTGCAAAGCTGCAGATGGAAACTCAGAGGTGGTAGAAATCTTCTATCTGTTGATTTTTACGGTCCCTCCTCGACCATATACATTTGGCAAATACCCCAAATTGTTCAGCTATAAATGTTTACAATACCCCAATCAAGATGATTATAAAAACAAACAAAAATGTTGTCCTGAGCAAAGGAAGCTAGAAAGGACAAACCAATAACCACACAATTTTGGAAACTGGAAAGCAGATGAGCAAGTGACAACTGACTTAACATACCCAAGAAAGCTCAGAGGAGGTAGTGGAACCTTCAGGAGGCGGGGCCTAGTGGGAAAAATTAGGT